CTAGCACTGTGGTGGGTGGGGGTGTTTTTGTCATTTTATAAATTTTTTATATATTGGGGTGTTTAGTTAAATTAGCAAACCTAGGGGTTTTTTTTTTTTTAAATTTTTAGATTTTACCTCGTAATACTCCCCTATTCAACTACCCAATATTATTTCCAAAATCCTATGCAAAATAATAAAACAAATGGATCCTTATTTTTTTTACGATTTTGGATACAAGCTTCATTATTAACCTTGTTATTAATTAATTTGATAACTTCATTGATCACAACTAATTTATTTTAGTTTATACATTGATAATTTGAAATTTTTAATCCTAAATAGTTTTTTACTCACCTCAAATCTCAATTTTTGCAAATTTTTTAATTTTTTTTTTTGTCATATACAAATGGCTTGAGCATATTGTTTATTATTAAACAAATTGAAAACACTAGAAACTAAAAACTAAATGGTCCCAACAACTGTCCAACCTTTGAAGGCAACCTCACAATGTGAATGCATAATGATTTTTAACCATTTGTGAATTGAAATGTGTTCATCACAAATTCTTGTTCCAAAAAGAAAAAGAAAAGTTGTTCACATTGTGCTCATCAACAAGAAACACATTTTATTTTATATATATATATATACACACACCAACTCTCACGTGTTTACTAAGTTCTAAGTCCACCATGATTATTTCATAGACTTATTGAATAGGAAATCTATAAGGGACGTGTAACGCATCGTTTGTGTACCCATCCATAATAGGTATCAAGTGTTTAAAACTTTATAAATGGACTAATCAATTATGAAAGAAATCAATGAAATGTGATAAAATCCTTTTTTTTTTTTTTTTTAATGACTAGGGATGTCAGCGGGCTTGTGGTCACCTCAACTATCCATCGAGATCTTGAAATTATCGACCAGTAAAAGCTCCAGTGGCTACCCTTATGTAGATACTCGAACTCAGAAGACTATATGATTTTCATCTTACTCTTTTACCATCAAGAAGACTAAAACTGAAGACCATGTTAAGTCATTTTTATTGTATAGATGAAAATAATCTCTTTACATATTCATCAGTTCTGAATGGATCAAAGCTATTTCAAAGACTTACATGATAAAGTCTTAGATGAGATGAGTATAATACTAATTTGTATGCTCCTTTATAATATCACATATTTAATAATATAAAAAATAATTGTTGTTATTTACCCTAAGGGACTGATCTGGTGGTCAAGAATATTGCTCTATTTATTGACTTCTTAGATTCAAACCATCTCGGACTATTTACCACATTTGTTGCTTACCTAGATATTGGACTTGTAGGGTGTTCAATGAATGTGCGTAGTTGGCATGGACCTTGGTTATCCAAAAAAAAAAAAAAAAAAATGTTTTTAGTTAGATGAAAGAAGTAATACAAATAATGTGTCACGTCCATCCCAAACTAAGTTTCTTTTGCAGCCTTTTATAACCAAGAAACTTCTCTAAAAGATCCAAGTAGATGATCCCAAAGGATCTAAGATAAAAACAAGCTCATACAAATTGCAAAGCAGCACCAAGATCCAGAAAATTCCCAAAGGCTAATGTGAAAGAAATGAAAGGTGAGACCAAAAGTGCAGGCTCCATTCAATCAACAAATTAAATCAAAGATCAAATTTAAGTGGCTCAAGATAACCAACCAATGTATGGTTCCAAGATCGCTCACTTTCAGTTATTTTTAAGCAACATTTCTGGTGGGCATTGATGTGGACATCACCTTCCTGACACAAAAAAATTGTGCTGGGTTTGAAATATTTTGACCCATAAATTGAAAGACATGATCATGAAAGACATTAGTGGGGGCTCAAAATTGGTGCTGTCATTTCAGAAGACAAATTGCTTTTGTGCTACATTTAGAGGTCAATTGATGGGCACCCATTTGTCTCACAAAGGCAAAGATTAAAGTAAAAAAATGGTGCAAGATAGCCATTATCTTTTCTTTGTTTTACCAAACAAGTGTACATGCATTTGAGAAATGGGGACTTCCATGTATGAGACATGCATTATGCAAAATTATTAAAGGATCTTTGATTTGTTTCTAAGAGATCTAGTGCTAGATGATATTTTTTGAATCGCCAGGGGGGAGATCAGAGATATAGTAACTCTTTAGTTTTAGTGTTATATTCCATGTCACTATAGCAAAAGTGTAAACGAGTCATTGACTACGGTTTTTTTTCTTTTTTCTTTTTTGTGTGATTCGGGGTGTTTGGGTCAGTTTGCACACACCTCGATTAATCTTTCGGAACTCTAAAGTTAACGACTGAGCATACCCTCCAGTGGCCACACCTATTAACAACCGAAAGAAATCGAATTCAAAACCTTTTGAGTAATATACCCAAGAGTCTATTCGCCTCACTTAACCACCCAAGGATGGTTATCATCGACTATGGTTTATAAGCTTTGCTGAGTAAATGTGATCCAATTGAAAATGTTTGTGTGAAGTGGAAGCATAAATTTATTATTAGTATTTATTAAGTCAATATGTTAATCAACATATGATAAAACGATACCAATTATTGTAACCTATTATTAACCGTCACAAATCCATCAAAAATGTTAGAATTCACGCACTCTTGATTATAAGCCCATCTTTATAATGTTATAAAATTCATTAAAATCGCAACAATATCCTTAAGACATAACAGATAGATCGACATATTTGCTTGTTGCCTTAAACTTAAATGATAATCAAAAGTGAGATTATTGGTCATGGTGAGGTAGAACAAACATTGAAAAGGTGAAAAGAGATAAGGCAATTAAGCAAGGCAAGGGGGCCTTGCTTCAATTTCAAAGTGAAAGGGAATCAATGGAGGGGGAACATGTTCATTGACATTTTAGACTTTCAAACTTGTTTGAAAGTATTATTACACATTGCTTGACCAAAAAAAGTTTGAGAAATGAATACAAAAGCATAAGTCATACTTAGCACGCCATATATAATTGATGTAGAAGAATAATTAATCAAGTTCATGATCATACACAATCCATAGTCAAAGTTTATTTGACATCATAATATAAAAAAAAAACATTTTTTAAAGACGGAAATCATATAAAATGCTATAATTCTCAATGTATACCTCATATGCTGGTACGTTGTCAATAGTATAAAGTTTGTGACACTTTAAAAAGAAATTCTTCGACGTAGCAGAAAAATCATGTCAGTTGTATAACAAATCAATGAAACGTGTTAGCTTATTATATAATGGATGTAATATTTCTATTATATTTCAGAGTTTTCCCACATTGAAAACCATGAAAAGGGTTGATAGTGAACTTGCTTTCATAATTTCCAATTGGGCTTGCTTTGCATTTTTAAATTTGATCATCAATTGAAAATATATTGACTTTCAATAGCCTAAATTCTTTATTTTGTTCTGCTTTGTTTGTTTAGGCTGAGCTTTGCCATTCATGAAGCCCAATTCAACTATTTAGCCATAGACAGCTCTATTGCATAATAGAAACCAACATTTTGGGCTAGATAGATCATGGGTTCCATGGGCCTCATAGTTAGCCCAATGTTTTATTCACAAATCATAATAAATCTTTTGAAGTTTTTAACGTATGAATTAACTACCATTAATTATTCATTGATTATATTTAATAGTATGCTTATAAATTTAGCAATTAGAATAATGATTTTGCTGGTACCAGTCCAATCGTTTGAGAAAAGAAATGAGACGGTGACTGGACTGCGGTAAGAAGTGTAATACACGCGCATAAGGTGAGAGTGGAGTGAAAAAATGATTGTTGCAGATTGTTCTAGCTGGCCTATAACACTGTAATCCATGTGTAGCTTTTTAAAATTTGTTCAGCCGTATGATTTTGACACGTGGCAAACTGAATATATAACCCCGCTTTGTATTTTATTGTATTTTGTCTCAAGTTTGATAATTAAGGAAATTGTCACTATAATATTAGAGAAAGTTTTCGATAATATGATATAATATGAGTTTCTGAGTTTAAATCCTCCCGAACACATTAATAGCTACTAAGTTGATTTATTTGGTTATCTGTTTTAAGACTTCAAGAGATTAGTTAAAGTATGCATAAATTGACCTAAATACTTTTTGTAATAAGATAAACGTTTGTGCGTTTGTCTAATCACAATATACATATACGTTGAATCGCACCATGATAATATCACATTCTTTTTGTTATGTGTTTTACAATTTTAATTTTATTATGTAATATATATTATTAGATAGTTCAATCTTGTAAACAATGTTATAATTCAATTTATGTCTGTTAAATAAATTTTTGGTTTAGCAATCTATAATCAAATGATTATTGAGATAAAAGAGTGAAAAAGTTTGACGTGACTATGCATAACAAAATATTAACATAAAAGATTTATAATTTTTTTTTTAATGGCTATAATAGATTATTTTCTAACATTTAAGATAGTTAATTCTAATACATTAAAATTAATTCTCTATCTTTTCAAAACTTTTTGTTAAAATTCATTTTATACCATTTTTTCTCTTATTTTCACACCTCTCTTATTATTTCTTTAAACTCATAAATTACAAATAACTTTATTTATCTTCTTTTCAAGATTATAATATTCTATGAAAATTTCTTTGCCTCCTAATATTTAATTTATAATTTCAGTGATAACATAAATATAAACTACAATATTGTATTAAAAATGTGTGAATTCAGATTTTTTTCGTAATCATTCTACTCTTATAAAATTTTATCTAATATAATTTATTGTCTTGCCCTAAAACATGTATATATATATATATATTTTTTTTTTTTTTTTTTTTCAGGTTTTACATATTTTTTTCGAAAAGAAAATTTGTTTATCTTATATTTCAAGAAATAATTTAATTTGTTTAAAACTTCAATATAACAAAATCATATACAATTATTTAAGTTAGATGCGAGCATACCATAACAAAACTCTGTAATATAAATTAATTTATATAATGAATAAACATAAAACAACATCAGTTACTCTCGGATTTTTTTTCATGAACCAACTTGCGGAAAAGCTTCAATCATCGCTCTTGTTCGCCCGTACCGCCACGCGCTTCCTCTCGCGTCTCTCACTCTACACTTTCCGTCTCTGCAAATCCCTCTTCTCCAAAACCCTAACCCTAACCGCTCTCTCCTCTTCTCCGTCTTCTTTGTCAATGGACGACGACGACAACAACAACATCAACAGCAGCGGCAATCTTTTCTCCAACGACGACGATCGTCTCTTCGATTTCGATTTTAACCCTAGCTCCTCCCGCCAAAATGATTTCAACAATTATTCTCCGAGTAGTTATATTAATAATCCCGCTTTTCTTGACGACGATGACCGCCTCAAGCTCTACCTTGTTCCGTACAGGTACGTTTCGTTTTTTTTTTTCAGCTTTTGATTCTGTTTGGTTGCCGAGAAAATGGAGGAAAATTTTCGTTTTGGTCTGTTGAGAGAAAAATGTGTGTTTTGATGTGGTTCTGGGCGAGCTGAAGGGGGAGGAAGTGAATTTTTGAATGGTGTGGTGAATGTAGGTTGTGACAGTGTCGTTTTGGCAACAATGATGGAAACAAGAAGAAAAGAAAACAACATGTTTTTGTTTATGGGGTCTGGTGTTTACGTTACATTTTCAGGTGGTGGAAGGAGGCACAACAACAACTTGTTGCTGATCAAATAGGAGGAGGTGGTGTTTTGTATCAAGTTTCATCTAACAATGGCACTGATAACTCCCAGATTGTGCTCGAGTTGAAGAAGCTAGAGGTGTTTCAGGAGAGTGGCAATGGGAATGAAGAAGGTTCTTTGGGCCGTGAGTATGCTTTGCTACCTGAAGGGATGTGGCTGCGTGCTCTTAAATGGTGAGCAAATTTTAATTCAGTTCACTTTATTGTTATTTTAAAATACATGGTTAGCCTGGTGATCTTAGCAGTCAACAATTTGGTTTTAAAGGAATTGTTTTTTTTGAATCATTTGAGAATGTTTTAGTGACTGTAGAGTGCATTATTGCATTTGCATTTTGGAATGTTTCAAAACGTGTGATACCAAACTCATTTGATGCACTCTTCTTCCCTGAGGTTATTGTGGTTTCCTGCACTTTGTAGCTTTTATAGGGCTCTTAAATGGTGAGCAAAGCATGACTCGTTTCACTTGATTGTTATGTTAAATACATGGTTAACCTGGTAATGTTAACACTCAACATTTTGGTTACAAGAAACTGCTTTTTGGATCCATGTAAGAATGTTTCAGTGACCGTAGAATGCATTATTGCCTTTGCATTTTGAAATTGTTCACAATGTGTGATACTGAACTCAGGGGATGCACTCTTATTCGCTGAGGATATTGTGGTTTCCTGCACTTTGTAGCCTTTATAGAGCTCAGTGTAATTTGTAATAATAAATTCTCTAGTTTTCACCAAACAATTGGAAGTGGAAACTGATTGTTGTTTACTTCTCAAGTGCTTATATATGTGGATGAGTTTTTGGATAGAAGACGGTGGCTTTTTATCGCTTTGAGCAGCAATTTTATTCTTCTTTTTTTGATAGGCATATTGATTTTAAAGCAGCATCGGGGGATGTTGGGAGCCCTTCTGTTGTGGGCAGTCATTTGCAGGATATGTTTCCATTACAAATTAGGCTTTCTGTTCTGCTGGAAACAAATTCATTGGCAGTTAAGATCAGCTTAAAGGTTTGTTGTGTTCTAGTCCTATTCTATTCTTTGTTTGAATTCTGGTCCTGTAGTAGCTGAAATTTGTGATCTGGTTTGTGAACCAGTTTTTTAGGGAGTTCTTTTTGAAGTTCAACAATATATACCTGCAGTCTACTCTCCTCATCTTTAATGTATATTTAATTATTCACCAATTGTTCCTATACCAGAATTTTTTTTTTCATGATGCTTCTATTAGGAGGGTGTCTTTTTCTTTGTGCAAGCTATGTATTGGTCATAGATTCCAATGGGGATACTTCCTTTCTAACAAAGCCAGTAACTTGGCATCAAACAATCTTGCAGATTGTTACTATTGAAAAACTGAGATGAGATATATGTTAATTTTAGATCCATATCATATGCTATGCTTTGGTGTTTGGTTTTGGTTAATAGAGTTCATATGCTATCAGTCCGAATACCTAGTGGTTCTTGATTCTTGATTCCTAAGTCTTATCTCTCTAACACAATTTTTTTTTCTTTGAATAAAGTTCTGTACTTCTTGTATATCATAATAGACTGTATTTTCAGGACAATGAGGTTGGTCTTTACAAGAGAGCCTGCAATCTATTCATTTCCGTGTCCCAACAGGTGAGTTTACTACTCAATACTTTACTAACAAATGTTATTCTCTGTTGGGTTAGTATAATTGCTTAATGTGCTCGTTTATTTCACAGCTCTTTATTCGGGACTTCTCAGGGCATACAACTCAGTTTTTTATGAATGATAGAGTCAATTTGTCGAATGATTTCTCAGGACAAAGTGAAGAGGTATGACTAGTTAATTTAGGAGAATTCTACGATATATGGCTTTCACCCGTAGGTGGAAGGTTGCTAGTAAAAAAAATCTCTGAAGTAAATGATTATGATATCAATTGTTCAATTTTTTATTGGCTTCTCTGATGTGCTTAAAAAAGAATTGTCAGGTGGTTTCCAAAGTTGCTGTTGCACCTTGGGGTTAAGTGACATGTAATGATTCTAGAAATTGTCCAATGGGTTATCAATCTGACATGTTTTTAGGTCTTTTGCGGTGTTGTGAAATCCAGTTCTTGATTTTTCTTTGTTTGAGTAGGATATAGGTTCAGTACTATGGTAGTGTACATTGACTACTACCAACTTTACATTGATCTACACTAATGGTCTATTCAGTTCCATATTTTATGGTATGATTATTGATCTTAAAATGGAAAAAAGGGAAAAAAAAGTTCAGCGTTACTTTTATGATGAATAGGAGGTGCTTAAACATTCACCATGCAATACTTGGAGGTAAAAGTTAATAGGGCTGGACTATGCCTGTTAAACTTCATTTTGATATAAATTTAGATGTTTATAGTAATATGATATTTCGGATGAGTTATCTTGGGGGCAGTTATTGAAAAGTTTCAGTGCAGCTTGTTAATGCAAATACTGTCCAAAGCAAATCTGATTCCGTTTTCAGTCTTAGCTTTCATGTCTTGCAATATATGTATAACTTCCTGTGCCTGATATTTAGCTATTTGGTGTTCTTATTGTTTTTTCTTTTTTTCCTTTTTCATTTGTTGCTACAGATTCTCCTTGAATTGCAAGTCCATGGGTTTTCAGATTCTATGAAGGAGACCAGCAATGACATGATAGAACATTCCAAGACAAACGATTCTTTCTGTAATGGTTCATTTAAGATGAATGGCAGCAATGATAACCTGAACCCTTATACAACACCTTCGAACTCCTTAATTTGTGGAAGTGGCTATGGAGGATTTAGTTTTTTGGGGTTGACGGGATTACAGAATCTTGGAAATACTTGTTTCATGAATAGTGCAATTCAGTGCTTGGCTCACACCCCAGAGCTTGTTGATTACTTCCTTGGGGACTACCAAAAAGAGATTAATCATGATAATCCGTTGGGGTTAAAGGTATGCCAGTAGGTGTAGCTTTTATTAGATGGTCACTTTTTTAGTATCTTTTCTTGCTTTGCCTTTCTTATTCATTAACTTAAATTGTCTACTATATTACAGGGTGAACTTGCTTTGGCATTTGGAGATCTAGTAAGAAAAATATGGTCTCCCAGAGCAATGCCAGTGACTCCAAGAATGTTCAAGTTAAAACTTGCTAATTTTGCACCTCAATTCAGTGGCTATAATCAGCATGATTCTCAGGTTAGCAAAGTTATTTGCTAAAGAAGTGTTGTTTCATTCTTGAACTCTATCATCTGCATGGTGATCTATTATCACTTACGGATGTGCATGCATATTCTTTAGCATAGCTTTGAGTTATGTGGTAGGAATTACTTAATATGTTCAAATGCTGTAATTCAGGAATTCCTTGCTTTTTTGTTGGATGGACTCCATGAAGATCTGAATCGAGTTAAATGCAAGCCATACATAGAAGCTAAGGATACCGAGGGATGCCCAGAAAAAGAAGTAGCTGAAGAATATTGGCGAAATCACCGGGCTCGAAATGACTCCATCATAGTTGATTTATGCCAAGTAAGTCTGCTGCGAATAGATGAGGTTGGCATGTATAATTAACGAATAATTTTGTACTCCTCTTGCACAAGTAATTATACTTTTTCTTATGATGAAGTATTCTGTAGTTTCAGCACACCTGTTTCCTGATTATGTCCATGCTTCCAATCGAAATGGATGTCAATTACTAATTATAAAAGATCACCATATTTCTTAGCATTTTGTAACTTTTGAGGAATGACTCCTATGGTTTTTGATTTGATTTTGGAATGTAACTTTTTATAAGCAACTGGTTTGAACTCCAGTTAGCTTTTTCAACTGTATTTATGTATTCTTTTTCTCATTTTAGGGTCAGTACCGGTCAATGTTGGTCTGCCCTAATTGCAAGAAGGTTTCTGTCACATTTGATCCACTCATGTACCTGTCACTACCTTTACCTTCCACAACAATGCGGACTATGACTGTGACAGTTTTTAGCAGTGATGGAAGTACATTGCCTATTCCGTTCACCGTCACTGTGCCAAAGTATGGGAGAACTAAGGATCTTATTGAAGCCTTGAGTATTTCATGTTCGTTAAGAGATGATGAAACTCTCGTGGTGGCTGAGGTATGTTGTGGCAGCTATGGTCTTTAAAATAGGTGTGATAGTATTAGCATTTTTCTTCTGAACCTTATACCTAAACTTTGGATTCCCAAGCACCTTAATTGATCTTGTGGCTCTTGATCTGGGTGTTGCTTCTTTGTTAGTGCCACATCAATGATGTCATAATGATAGCCATCATCCAGCAATCATTATGTTGAATACAATCATCTTGGCCTACTGGTTTCCTCGTAGACGTTAGGATTAACCATGATTGTTTGTCACATTTGTTTATGGAAATAGGATCTCTAATTAAGAGATCTCCTATGCTAAGTCTATTATGATGACAAAATTAAATATCTTTGATTATTTGCTAAGCTTAAACTCTTATTCGTTATTGTAACTAAAGCAATGTAAATTAATTTATTTCATGTGTTAATTATAAATTACACTTCTTCATTGAAAGTGACTGCCCTTATTTTCTCTTTGTAATAGATGCAACCCATAAGTTTATTGAGTTGTGTATTCAAAATCAAATTTCTGCTTGCATTTTTAACTTTGGTAATTTTAGCTCTAAGTACAGTCTGATTTGTAGATATTCAAAAATCAAATTTTTCGTTTCCTGGAGGAGCCATCTGATTCTTTGGCCTTGATAAGAGATGAAGACAGACTTGTGGCTTATCGATTACTGAGAGATAGTGAAGCATCCCCCTTGATTGTGTTCATGCATCAAAAGGAGTTAAAGTAAGCTTGCTCGGATTCTCATTTTGATTATTTATGACAGTTTTAATTTTGCATATGGTGCATTTCTCTCTTTGTTTGTGGTGTTTTGCTTTTGTACCAAAAAGATGTGTTAGCAGATGATGGATGCATGCATGCATATGTGGTGTTTTTACTCAATAAGCCACCTTGGTTAACTTACATGTCTATGGAGGACCTCATGCAGATATTTGATAAGTTATCTGCATGGTTATCAAGATACTATTTATACTACATGGAATACTATTTGTTTATTATATACATGTAAAACGGACATAGTTATAATATGCGTCCATTATAGCTGTTCTTATGCACGTCACTTTTTGGTTAAACAATTGTAAATTTTGGTTTAGTGCAGTTTCAATTAGCTGAAGATCATGTCTGACATCAGTAATTTATGTACCTTTAGAATGAGACTTAATTAAAGGATTTTCCATATAAAGTGCATAACTTAATTATCCAAAAGTTGGGTCATTTTTTGTGTAAAAGAAAAGCAGGGGATCATTCATCCTAAGCATACATCTATATGCATACATATATTCGCTTTTTGATCATCTTGAGAAGCCTATTAAAGTTGTTTGCATCTATCTCTTTTAAAAAATTAATGATAATTTGTTTTTCTATTTATTATTTATCTTATTATGATGGAGTCAGGCTTTACGATTTTGGGAGGTCAACTTTGGATCTGGTACAGTTTGGCACACCCCTTGTAGCAAGGTTGTCTGATCTTACCAATGGATCTGAGATCTGTAAAGTGTTTCTGAAATTACTTAATCCATTTTTAATGCCTGTGGAAGATGTATTAATTGACTTGGATGATGCGGGGAATATGGATAATGAAGATACAGCAGCGGAAGATTTTAGTAGCCCAACAATCTTGGATAATGATGCAGGCTCAGATAGTGAAATAGGAGATGAATTACTTTTGAGTCCTGACTTTCAATTCTACTATATGGGTGTACAAGAACAAACAGAGATAAAAATGAATGAGCCCATATCGATCTCAGAGTCCAACAGGCCGTTGAATATCCTTGTTAACTGGTCAGATAAGATGATTGAAAAATATGATACACATCTTCTCGGCTCATTGCTGAACGTTTTCAAGCCCCAGTTGTGCACCAGGAAGCCTCAAGAGTCTGTTTCTCTATACAAATGCCTAGAAGCCTTCTTGAAGGAGGAGCCCCTGGGACCAGAAGACATGTGGTTAGTACACTAATCAATCAATTAATTTTCTATTTATACTCAGCTGTATCTTGCTCAGTTTTTTTGCCATTTTGAGAATTATATAAATATTTTCATGTATACAAATTGATTTTTGTACTTTTGTTGTGTCTAATGCAAATTGATGCTATTATGTCAGGTATTGCCCCAAATGCCAGAAGCATCGGCAAGCCAGCAAAAAATTAGATCTTTGGAGATTGCCTGACATTTTGGTTATTCATTTAAAGAGGTTCTCATACAGTCGGTATCTTAAGAGCAAGCTGGAAACATATGTTGATTTTCCAATCGATGATCTTGATCTCTCAACTTACATTTCCCATAAAGACAGCCAATTATCTCATCGCTATGTCCTGTATGCAATAAGTAACCACTACGGAGGCCTGGGAGGTGGTCACTACACTGCATTTGTTGATGTAAGTAATGTCGATTCATTTCTTTATTCTTCTGATTGCTTGTAGGCATTTAACTTAACCATTTTTCTATTAGAACTGTGAAGTTTGAAACTTAAAAGTACTTATTGTTGAATGATAACTTCAGATCTAAAAAGGAATGTGTTTTAAGTTTGAGTGAGGTGTAATGTACTCGGGCGCCTGGATATGTTTGGAGCAGAGGGATTCTATAATGTGATTATGAATTTATGTTTAATCTTTTAACCCTTTCTATGGAGGGTTAATTGGAAGTTGGGGTTCCACCTAAAATGCAATTTTTGATGAGATTCGAAATGCATTTAGTGTCGAATATCTTTCATGTTGCTCGCCATCTGAATTTTGATGTGAAGATGTTAGAATGAAGTTTCAAAGTCATCTTGTCATTCAAACCTCTTTGGTATCTACTGGTTCTAAACTGTTAGTAAATTCCGATTGTTACGTTCGTATTTCTTTGATACATATCAAATACTTGTCTTCTTCGCTTAATATGATAATTCTAACATTGTTGCTTCTGTGCAGCTTGGGCATAAGAGGTGGTTTGAGTTTGACGATGACAAGGTTTACCCTGTCAGCGAAGAGCAGCTTAAGACATCAGCAGCTTATGTTCTTTTCTATAGGCGAATCCCGGATGTCTAACATAACAATAGTTGTATAGTTGTTACCCAATTTGGAAATCAAGACACAGATTAACAATTACCGTCCTCACCAAGCAGAAATCGGCAACAGAGAGGAAAGAAATACTTTTAAACACTGTACAGTTTCGAAAGATGTGGCAGTAAAATAGTACAGGCAAATACTTCATCTTACATGTTGAAATTCCTATCAATTTTTTCACAATGGGGGCTGCTTCACCCTCCTGTATATATAGGCTTTTGCCATCACCTCTGTGCTTTTATAAACTCTTCACAATTTTTACATCGTCGTAAATATTTGGTAACGCAGAAGGTAAATTAATAGTGAAGGTAGAGAAGGTTTTCTGTGGGACAGACGTATTACAGTCTATCCAATTATGATATAATATGAGAGTATACTTTTGTCATTGGATGTGTATATTTTGTATCACTGTGATAGATGGGCGCGTTTGTCTATTTAAAAGCTTGTTCGTAACACCCTGATTGATCGTGTATATTTTGTTATCCACGTGATTGGATGCGATTGTCCATGATAAATGAAAAAAGATTTTTCGTTCTTGTTAACATTAAAAGGTTATTGGCATTGCATAATGATTTAATAGCCATGAGACAAATAATTTTCATTCTTGTTAATTTTTTTATTATTCTTGTCCTATCCTAACCAAAATATTTGTTTTAATATTCTCAAAATCCAATCATACTCTATTCAACTAGAAATATTATTTAACCCCTTAGGTTTATTGATTTAACTAAATACTCTTAACAATAAAAGTTTATAAATTGATAAAAACACCTATCATCTATCCACATTTATTAGATTTCGGCTACTACCGTCGGAAGGTGGGTAGAATCTGTCGTAATGGATCTTGGCTGTCGCCAGATGTGGCCAAAGATCTAGCATTTTTAGGCCAAATCCAAGGTGGATCTGACTGGAAAAAGGCTAGATCGGTGCACTACCAGCTAAATCCAGTCGGTAATACACCATTACGGTAGATTTTGGCCACCTTTTAGCGGTGGAGGCCGCCTACCGGCATTTAATGAGTATGTGGGAGTGTTTTTGTTAATTTTCAATGTTTTATTATAGGGAGTGTTTAGCTAAATTTACAAATGTAGAGAATGTTTTTGTTAATTTTCAAATTCTATTATCCTAATAACAACCCAATTCAATTTTTTCAAAAAATACTTGATACTATTTTTCATAGTGATTTTGTATTTAATTTGAATAGGATATATGATACTATTAATTGCTATGTAATTCTATTAATTTTACTTTGCAGGTCTAAACGATGATTTTGAGTATAAATGACGATGTTGAGTGTAAATTACATAACTTGAGATTTTCAACTCCGAATGACCTGAATTTAGAAGCTATGAAAAACATAGAAGCAGAGCTACAACTTTCATATTTGGGTTTTTTCCTTATTCTGACTGGAAGATGGTGAAAATTTGGCTTGAAGTTGTGAATAGCTCGTTGCGAACTGAAGAAAAACGTCTTTGAATATGCATCAGTATTTTTTCCATAACATGAGCTGTAGACCTCAGATTGGGATAATTATTGAATGAGTAGAAATATGAGACATAGGGATATAACTTTAATTTTTTGGTCGTATCCAGTTCAGCTTAGAAAATGGTTAAAAATTGAGCCAAAAGTTACGTTAGTGCATGGAAGACAAGCAAATTTGTTATCATGTATTTTTAATTTAAGTATGACTTTTTACCATAATACCCTCATGACATTAATACCAAAAAGAGAGGTCCTTAGCAATAGGGGAGGAGGCTAGGGTTTTTATTTATTTATTTATTTATTTATTTATTTATTTATTTACATCAAATAGGAGGAGGAGATCAAAGGAAAGAGGCTAGCACATTCATGCGGGAGAAGTTGGTGCGATGCTTTTCCAGAGATCAATTCTTCAAGATTTCAGTTTTTGTTTTCTCTTACTCTACTTTTATGCATCAGTTTGGAATTGTTATGATGATGAGTTCAAAACTAATGTTGATTGTTATCACTTTGATTATGGAGTAGATTGTTATTGTTAAGGGGTAGATTCTACCTAACCATGTTGACTTGATTTTCAATTTTATTAAAGCATTCAAGAATTTATTGCTCTACAAGAATATGTGTGATTTGTTTAATGCTTTTGGATCTGATGTTTCTTTAATTATTTAGGGCTCTTATTGAATGATGAATTAGGCGGTAAAGTTTGATTAAAAATCTTTTGATTAGGGTTTCATTGTGTTCAACTGTTTTATTAATGTGATGATAAACCAGGCAGCGAAATCACTTTAGGTCATTAAAATAGCATAGATCATAGATTGAGTAGGATACTCGGGAGAGTTTTGTGAGGTTTATGTGGCCAGTTTAGGTTTTAAGCGGGAGCGGAACCTAACCGTTAATGAATTTCATAATTGTGTTAAATTGCGGGATTTAGCCATCTTTAGATCAATAAATTTCCTGAATCTGATTTTTATAGCATGTCTGTCAACATTGGTTTAGGTAGAATCAAAACCCTTAACATTTTTATCATATAGTGATATTTGTCTTTATTATTTAATTGTTTTAATTTCTAGCAATTCTTGTTTTTATTTTAAATTCACATCATCAATTTCGTTATCTCAAATAACAATTAAGATTAGCAATTTATTTGTTTATTTAGCATTCAGTCCTTATGGGATTCGACACTTTATTCATCACTTTATTACTTGTCGATTAGTGCACTTGCTAGCATACGAAATAGTTACAACAAGTTTTTGGTGCTGTTGTCGAGGACTGAAAAATTAGACGTACAATTACGTTGACTTGTCTTGTTACTTTGAGAATTTTATTTTTTGTTTATTTTTGTATTTTAGGTTTTTCTCCCATAGTGCATGACCCGCTCTAGCAAAGAAGAACTTGAAAATTTGATCCTGAGATTGAGCGCACGTTACACCAAATGAGGAGACTAAGAAGAACACAAGTTGAAGCAATGGAAGAGATTAACAGTGAAGATGGAGGAAATAATGTAGTAGCAACCAACATAGAAGTTGCGAGACCACTTAGAGAATATGCTATGCCATCTTTAAATTGAGCAACATCAAGCATTACAAGGCCAACTAGTCAAGCTAATACTTTTGAAATCAAACCATCGATAATTCAAATGATTCAGCATTCAGTGCAGTTTGGTGGTTTGACACAAGAGGATCCGAACTCTCATATAGCCAATTTCCTGGAAATTTGAGATACCTTCAAGCACAATGGAGCTTCAGATGACGCCATTCGCCTACGACTTTTCCCATTCTCTCTAAGGGATAAGGCGAAGAGTTGGTTATTTTCTTTGCCTGCAGGATCCATCACTACATGGGATGCAATCGCACAAAAATTTATTGGTAAGAATTTTCCTCCTGCAAAAACTGCTAAGTTACGTAATGAAATTACAATGTTTTTGCAAGCTAATACGGAATCACTGTATGAGGCGTGGGAGCGGTTCAAGGATTTATTATGCAAGTGCCCACATCATGGATTGCCAATGTGGCTGTAGCTGCAAACATTTATTAATGGTTTAACTAACTCTACTCAGAACATGTTAGATGCAGCAACAGGGGGCACAATTATGAAGAAGACTCCTGAAGAAGCATATGAATTGGTTGAAGAAATGGCTTCTAGTAGTTGTCAATGGGCTACCGATAGATCAACTGTGAGGAGACCTATAGGAATTCATAATGTTGATGCTATTACGTCTTTAGCAGTGCAAATGGAGGCTTTGAGTAAGAAGATAGATAACATGCATGTTTCTGCAGTGAAGATTCAAACTCTTGTTTGTGACTATTGTAGGGGAGGCCACCCAAATCGAGAATGTCAGGTAAGTGATTCTTTTGCACCCTCTTCTGAGCAAGCTAATTTTGTTTCTAATTTTCACAGGTAGCAAAACAACCCGTACAGTAACATGTACAACCCAGGATGGAGGAATCACCCAAATTTCTCATGGAACCAAAATGCAACTAACCATCACCACCAGGGTTCCAACCACCTCAAGAGAAAAAAAATCCAATTTGCAGGATATAATGGCCCAATTTCCGAGCACTATTGAATTGAGGTTTCAAAACCAAGAAGCTTCCATTAGGAATTTGGAGGTTCAAGTGGGACAACTTGCCAATTTAGTCTCACAAGGTGCGTTACCAAGCAACACAGAGAAAAACCCAAAAGAACATGCAAAGGCTATCATGTTGAGATGTGGAAAACAATTAGAAGAACCCAAGCAAGTTGAAAAGTTAAATGAACTTAAAAAGGAGTAGGCTGAAAAGATAGAGAAAAAAGAAGAGAAAATTTTGTGATGCAACCAGCCTTGAAAAAGCTCGTAATTCAGTTGGTAAAAATTTTGTAGAAAGAAAATGTGTTCCTCCTCTTCCTTATCCTCAAAAGCTGAAAAAATAAAAGCTTGATAAGCAGTTTTCAAATTTTTAGATATTTTTAAAAAACTGCAAATTAACATTCCATTTGCAGAAGCTTTGTCACAAATGCCTAGTTATGCAAAGTTTTTGAAGGAGATCTTGTCGAATAAGAGGAAGATGGAAGAGCATGGGACAATTCGATTAACTGAAGAGTGCAGTGCGATCTTACAGAATAAACTACCCCCAAAATTAAAAGATCTAGGGAGTTTCACTATACCTTGTACTATTGGTGATTTTTGCTTTGATAAAGTGTTATGTGATCTTGGTGCAAGTGTGAATTTAATGCCATATTCTATTTTCAGGAAACTAAGATTAGGAGAAGCAAAGGAAACTACTGTCTCTTTATAGTTGGCAGATCGTTCAATCAAGAGACTATGAGGAATAATTGAAGATATGTTAATGAAGGTAGACAAATTCATCTTTCCCGTGGATTTTATTGTGCTGGAGATGGAAGAAGATCAAGAAGTTCCCCTTATCTTAGGAAGACCATTCTTAGCCATGGGGAAGACTTTAATTGATGTTCAACAAGGGAAGTTAATTTTGAGAGTTAACGATGAGCAAGTGGTTTTTGATATGTACAAAACAATGCAACATCCTTCTGACGATTTCACATGTTTTCAGGTTGACATTGTTGATAATATTGTTGAAAATTTTCAGGAAGATTTATTAACAGATCAGTTAGAGAGATTTATCATGCAAGCAAAGACTATTGACGATAAGGATCCATGCATAAAAGAGAGTGTAGAACAATTAGAGGAAGGTTTAGCCATGAGTAAAGAAGATGAACAACCACAAGAGCTCAACCAAACAAAACTAGAGTCAAAACCCTTTGTGGAGAAGTCTCCAAAAATTGAAATGAAAACTCTGCCTTCTCATTTAAAATATGCTTTTCTAGAAGGAAATTCTTCTTTGCTTGTTATAATTTCTTCTTCTTTAACATGTGAGATGGAAGCACAACTTCTAGAGGTTTTACAGAAGC